CGTTGTGCAGTTCTCAACGAGGGGTATCGTATTTGAGTTTTTTGAAAATGGTCGCATTTGGGGTTAGTGAAGGTCAAAATGTTGGAAAAGGGGGTCGAGTATTTGTGGAAGTTGGAGGGTCGTGGTGGCGGTAGAGGGGGATGGGTCGTCTTGGACGAAATTTCTCGATGTTAATTTCAAGCATGAACTGGTTAGAAGAGTTGGTTAGAGTTAGAGACTTGTCTCTTCATTAGACAAATTCCGCCTACCCCCGCTCGATGACTGTATAGCCATGGTGGTTAGGGTGCCGCTCGGGTGTGGAATAGGGGAGGGGTCTTACAGCGGGACCCAGAGCAAATGGTGGTGATGAGGGGTCGTATCGAACCCACTATAAGAGGGAGTGAGAGTCGTCATATTTCCAGAACTGGAACAACGGACGGTTGACTTTGCGTACCACAAGCCACCACTTGCCGTTGAACCATAGCCGCGGATACTAGCGATTGGCAGAAACGCGGAGCAGAGCGTTCACGTTGATGACGTCAGCGCCGATGAAACTTGCCCCAGTCCAGAAATCTCGGGCAAATGAGGGGTCCTATTCCTTTGGTTCCAGGCCGTTTTCGTGGCTTTCTTCAACCCTGTATAACTGACCACCTCCACCTTAATTTCGGTCGACGGACTACTTGAACTCAGCCCTTTAAACCGCCTCTGCGCTCTCTCGCGGGTCCCTCTCCTCTCCAAGGCTTAGTCCTAGGGCATTCACCGTTCTCTAATCGTCTGTGCTCTAGCCATCGCGGCAGGACCATTGAGGAAAAATCAAGTAGTCCGTAAACCCTTAATTTCCAATAGATGCCTTTTTCGGTGAACTCCGCGCTATAATCTGTAATAAAAAGCTGCGTCTAGTCGGTTAGCAGAGCGTTAGAGCGACATTGATTTTTGAGACGCCTTTTTTGAACACCGCAATTTTATATAAATTTTTTAAGGAATTCTATCTTTGGGCTCACCCTCGTTATGAAGCTGAAGATTGCTGACAGGCCCGTGAAGAAAATGGCAACCACAAGGTAATACAAAGTTTAAAATAATGTTCGAAGTTTTTATTTGTTTTGTTTTATAGGATTGGTGATGACGACTTGTTACTGACTTGCGCAGGAAGTTTTTCGGAAGAAGAATCTTTGTTATTGTGGCGGAAAGAGCCGATATCGGTGAGAAACTATGAAATTCAGTTGGGATCTTCCGTGCTTTGAGGGCAACAAATGTTTTGTCCTCAGTAGAAATTCTAAAGGGAGGTATCTTGTACTAAATACCGAATTTGTTGGCGTTATCGGTAATTTTCCATCGTTTGTCATAACTTGTAGTTACTCGGAATTATATTGTTTGTTTTATGAATCCAAGGCTAATGTCATC